CAGTCCTGACCAATGGCGCAAAGTCCTCAGAATTATCCCCACAGCTGCAACGCCCCTCCCGGAGGCCGGGGCAGTAAGGCCCTAGGGAAGAAATATGTTTTGAGAAGCCTAAGCAACTCCATTTTTGTTTAACACTCCATCTCAGTTCTGCGACTTGACTCGTGACCCACTTTAGCCCCAATGCTAGGAATTTATGACAGAAAGCCATGCACACTTCTTGGAGCCATAGATGGCGTTTGCCCCCAAGTGGAGTTGCCCCCCAGCCACCTAGGACTAAGAGTTTCTGACTAACCGGTTCTTCAGAACCCAGGGCAAGACATGCCATGCATTCTGTTGGTCTAGGTGTGACTCATAACCGTTTTTGGTCAAGCTATGGACCAAGGACATTTTTCTGTAAAGGTCAACCAAACATATTTGCCCAGCTTAGCTTGCTTTAAATGTTAACCAATCATATAATTTCTTACATAAAAGTTCCTTAAAGTTGTTTGTTCAATACTATAAAAACTGCGCTGATTCTATGCTCAGGACCTCTTAGCGTCACCAGTTACCATGTGCGCGGAGGACCAAGCTCGAGCTTGCAATAAACCGGCTCTTTGTTGCTTACATTGATCGTGGTCTCTGGTGGTCTTCTGGGGGTCCCTGAATTCTGGTATAACACTAGCTACTCAGGAGGCTGAGTCAATTGAAACAGAAAAATCTATGCTACTTTATCTTCAAAATAACTAGCAAGAAGCCAAGCTCAAGGTATGGTTCAACTGGTAGAATGCCAGCTAAACTAGTTAAAGCAAGCAACTATGAAGCCCTGACTTCAAACCCTGGTGCTAGTACAGAAAAGAAAAAGAAAAACGAAGAGAAGTGGAGGGGAGGAGAATGGAAAGGAGGAGTATATGTAGCCAGACCAGGGGCAAGATAAGATATACACAAAAGGATTATAATTCCTTCTTTCCTCTAAAACAATGTTTTGGTAATCAAAAAAGCTGAATATATCACTACAGTTGTAGTGAAATTCACCATCACTAGTAAAGGCTGGTTACACAGTAAAACCTAGTACCTAGCAATGCTAGGAGATTCGAATGGTAATTAGAGTCAGAGAACATTTGGGAAGTTTTCTTCCATGGTTTGCTTGGTCTCATATTTAGATGCACATATGTGTGTAGTTCCCATGCAAATACAAATGTGAAATGCCGGATTTAGATGGGATAGCAATGGGAATTTTGTTATTTCTCAGTTGTCTTTTTAAAAGTCTTTTCTGTAACTCAGTGATTCCAATCCTAGCCCAAGTAGACAAAGACAAAGTCAAGTAACTCAGAGAGAAGGAAAAGGTATGCATGGGTTAGCATATTTCACATCAATCCCAGTCATCCTCCAATCTGTAGGAGAAAGCCATTGCATTGGGCTATGGAAATTGGAGGAAATTAGGAACACAGTTAGGACTAGGGTAACAGGGTAAGAGGTTAAGTTATCATAGACACATTTTAGAGAATTCACTAGGCATTGGGAGAGAAAATGGAGAGGATAGGATTGAATCATCAGCTCCTCATAAATTTTCTTAATGGGATTTTTTTAAGTCCAGGCAGTGAATGATAGAATTAACTTGGCTTTAAAACAAGCTCTAAAAAATGTTATTCTATGGCTCTTAAAATTATCTTGCCACTGGAAATGTGATGTGCATGGCCTATTTCCCCTTCTAAATTGTCCTTACTTAATAACCCTTATTTCCAATCTCAAGAAGAAATGTCACTAGATACTACCGAAGATTCTGTCTGCTTTTAGTGACAGCCTGACATGATGACATAAGGAAGACACCCATCAGGAAGAAGCCACTTTAGGGTAAAAATAGTCCTGGGTTTTTCCAAGTCATTAGAAACGATTACGCCTGCTTTCAGATGGACCTGAGTCTTTACAATCTCTTGGTAAGAAACTAAAATCAGAAGGCAGTAAACAGTGTCTCCACTCAGAAAGAGACCCCTCCCAACTCCTCACACCCTCCCCCCCCACCCCCCCCAACACAGAGTTACCTGAACTTACTGGAGTTTATGGAAAAAATCTACAAGAGGACAATTTGGGGGACCAACCTCACAGCTGTATGTCCCATCCTGATGATAGGAGAAAGGCTGGTGACAGAAATGCTGGGGTCAAGAGCCACCTGCCAAGGCTGCTCTTCCTTCTGTCTCTACCTTTCAGAAATGCACTCAGCTACTTCTAACTCCAAAGCCAAAGAGAGCTGCATTTGACTCTTTTTTTTTTTTGTCGGTTGTGGGGCCTGAACTCGGCCTGGGCGCTGTCCCTCAGCTCTTCAGCTCAAGGCTAGTGCTCTATCACTTGTGCCACAGCACCACTTCCTGCTTTTTCTGTTTATGTGGTGCTGAGGAATCGAACCCAGAGCCTCATGCATGCAAGGCAAGCACTCTACCACTGAGCTACCTTCCCAGCCTTTGACTTTTATCTCTAAAAGTACTCCTGTATGTAGGAAAAATACAATTTCTAAAGATATTTTGAACAGTACTATGAAGAAATACTGTTTGATCTGGGGACTCAGCCAATAGGAGAGAAGAGTTGACAAATGGAATTGCATCCAATTAAACAGTTTCTAGGGGAAAAAATTACACTGGAACATGATAAGCTATACAGGACACTAGGTATTCACAGAGAGTAAGACCAAAGGAGGATATGCTTAGGAGAGGATCACAAAGGCACAATAGCTATGTGTATCTGATCATATAAAATAATATTTATTGAAATAATCTCCAAGAAATGGAAACAAGAGGTTTTATTCTTTGTTGCCGTTTTGTTTTCTTTTCTTTTTGTCTTGTTTGTTTATCTGTCTTTAGAAGGGCAAGGGGGAGCACAGAAACACAGGGACAAAAGGTGAACAAATGCAGCAGTGGTACTCACTAGACACTATGTTGACAATGAGCTATACAACTTGTGGGTGAAGATGGGAGGGAAAATGCAGCAGTGGTACTCACTAGACACTATGTTGAAAATGAGCTATACAACTTGTGGGTGAAGATGGGAGGGAAAATGCAGCAGTGGTACTCACTAGACACTATGTCGAAAATGAGCTATACAACTTGTGGGTGAAGATGGGAGGGAAAACCTGGGAGAGAGTAAGGGGTGACATTTCAAAAAGAAATGTGCTCATTACTTGACTTATGTATCTAACCTCTCTGTACCTTTACAATAGCAATTTTTTAAAAGAAATTTAAAAATTAATTAATTAAAAATAAAAAGTTTGGACAGCAAAAGATAGAAAAAGATAGCTTACAGATTGGGAAAAACTCATTACCAGTTACATATATCACAAGGGTCTAATATCTGGAATATACAAGGAGCTCAAGAAGTGAAATCTCCCTCAAAGTAATAACCCAAACAATAAATGGACAAAGAGGCTAAACAGATACTGAGGAAGAAGTAAATACTGCTAAAGAACACTCAACATCCCTGGCCATAAAGGAAATTCAAATCAAAACAACTTTGAGATTCCATTTCACACCATGTTCACCAGTATTGAGAATACAAATAATAACGAATGCTGGCCAGGGATGTGAGGAAAAAGGAACCCTATTACACTGCTGGTGAGAATGTAAACTAGTACAGCCACTTTGGGTGTTGGTTTGGAAACTAAACACAGATCTACCCTACAATCCAGCCATACTGCTCTTGTGCATCTACCCAGAACACGGCAAGCCAGACTACAGTGAAGACCCTTGTACATCTATGCTCACTGCTGCACTATTCACAATAGGCAAGTTATACGAACAGCCCAAATGCCCTACAACAGCTGTTTGGATCATGAAAACGTGGTACCTGTACCCAATGGAATTTTATTCATCCTTTAGGAAGAATAATATTTTGTCATTCGCAGGGAAATGGATAGACCTGGAAAATAATTACATTAAGGGAAGTCAGGCTCAGAGAGACAAAGGGAACATGTTTTCTCTCCTATGCGGAAGCTAGATATAAAATACAAATGTGCATAATAACATATGAAGAATTCCATGTATTTACATACAAATTGACTAAAGGCAGGTATACTTAAAGAGAGAAGAACAAAGGCATAACTCCTCTGAACAACTAATGAATGTTTATCAAAATAAATATTAGGAAGTGAACATATGTTTTGGGGGATGGGTAATGGGGAAGAAAGGCAAGGAAATGCAACCATTATATTCAATATGCATTATGAAAAAAACCAAACTACGTGACGTGAGAGTAGGGGAGAAGCGGGGAAAATGGGTGAGATTTACAAAAGGGGTGATATTGACCGAGATACATTGTACTCATACACTCACTTTTGGAAATGTAACCTCTTTGCACAGCTACTAAATAATAAAAATTGTTTAAGGGAAACACTTTATGGAGGTGTCACAATGATACTATCAACAACCAAAGAGGTTCCTAAGCCCCAGTGGCTCATTCTTGTAATCCTAGCTACTCAGGAAGCTGAGAATTGAGGATCAAGGTCTGAAGTCATTCTCATCCAATTAACAAGCAAAAAAACTGAATGTAGAGGTGTGGCTCAAGTGGTTGAATATCAGCCTTAAGCAATATCTAAGGGACAGTTCCTAGGCTCTGAATGCAGGCCCCACTTTAAAAAAAAAGAGTTCCCCTTCTATTCTACTCCCATCAGAGAATATGAGAGCTAGAGAAAGTAGGCACAAGCCCAGCTAGTCAGATCATGTTCCTAATTGTGTATTACAAGTTCAGACAAATTAGATTCCATTAAATCCTATTTAATATCAAGACAACCATATTTCCAATGAGAAATGTTAATGGCAATACTTGTCATAGAGCCAACCACCCACACATGATCTCATGAGAGTCAAGTGACTTACTTTTATTTCCAAACAGTGATCATTAGACATACATTAAGTGATCATTAGACATACAGACATTTAACTAACATTATCCTACTGGTTATGGCAGGGAAAAAGCATGTCTACCTTGGAAGAATCAACAGTAATATAGACTGGCATGAGCTGAGAAGCCTTACTTACTGTCAGATACATAGCTGCATAGACACTGAGAGCTGCTTCTTTGGATGGGAATGTTTTCCTCGCTCTCATGATGAGATCTGGGTTGCCTGTACAAGCCTCCTCCCCACTGATGAACTGTGTGTACTGCTGACACCCCAGTGCCGTATAGTTGGGCTTACATAGAGCAAGAAAATGCGGGGCTAGGTTTCCTGTAACCACTTGTCCAGCGTTTACAAAGATATCAGTAGCGAATAGTCCAAACGTATAAATTCCTGAAAAAAAGAAAATAAACAATTTTAGTTCTCTTTTATTTTTGTATTCCAGTCTACAGTAAGCCAAAACAGAAATATTTTGGAAATTGACATAACATATATACATGTATTATTCACTTTTTGAGTTTTTTTGTTGTTTTTTTCTTTCACGTCATTCCTCCCCAATTTTTCCCCTTGGCTTTTTGGAGTTGTGTGAGCGTTAAATTATTTATCATATTGGACTGTCTACCATGGCTACATTCTTTATGCATGGCAGGTTTATAAGACATGCAATTAGGAGAAGAAAATAGAGTCTAAGACTATGTTGGGATATTGTGATTTTAAAAAAAAAAAAATGAAGATATATATCCTTGGAGAGAGTATAGACTATCATGTTTTATTTATGCTCACAATCTTACTTTTTCCCTATTTTTGACAATATTTTTTTATCTCACTAACATGAAGCAGAGTAGTTGTCGTCTTTGATTATACCTCTTAAGCCTATTCAGATTGGAATTAACTCTGCTGGAGGTGCCAATTAGCAGTAAAATCAAATGCCTTTAGGATTCATTTAAATATCATGGAAAATCTTAAGTAAGGCTGAAGCATTTTTATAGTAATCACTATACTGCTTTCAGAAACATATTTTTGAAGGCATAGAACAGTCAGAATTTAGTGTCCTTTATCTTTTTTGTATTAATTCTTTTTACCCATTTTAGGTTAATTTAGTAAACAATAAGTACCCAATATAATAATTTTTCAGTTTCTTTTTAGCATTAAGATTTATTTTCTCTGGTTACCATGAGGGTATAAAATAGATATATTTTTCTCTTTTGGTAAGAAACTTGTCAGTTGAATACCAAATTCAACGTAACTGATTATTATGGAAAAACTTATTTATTCCATTTAGAAAAAAATAATTTTTGCCAATAATTTCAATTAAATTTCCAAATATGACCCTTAAGAATGTGGTACTAATGTAAAGAAATGCATCCTTTTATTATTTTGGGAAATACTATCCATCAGAGACTTTTAAAACCCTACAAAAAAAATACTTCCCCAAACAGTTGATTCATTAAAAAGCCATGGAATTTTATCACAAAAAAATCAGATATTAATCGGGCGCTGGTGGCTCATGCCTGTAATTCTAGTTACTCAGGAGGCTGAGATCTGAGGATCAAAGTTCAAAGCCAGCCTGAGCAGGAAAGTCCTTGAGACTCTTATCTCCAATTAGCCACTAGAAAATCGGAAGTGGTGCTGTGGCTCAAGAGGTGGAGTGCTTGCCTTGAGCTTAAGAGCGCAGGGACAGTGCCCAGACCCAAAGTTCAAGTCTTACTACTGACCAAAAAAAAAAAAAAAAAAAAAAAGATCAGATGTTTATCTTTTTAGTCACATATTTTTGGATTGTTTTCTAAACCTTTTCATCATTACTGTTGGTTGTATTGGGAAATCTCCATGAAAGATTTGTAAGATCAAATATTTTACAGTATCAGATGCAAGGATTTTTGATTTTCAAAATATCGTGAAAGGTGTATGCATAAAAGACAATTTACAAAACCATGTGTACTGCAAAAACTCTGAATCCAAATGTCAGTAGTAGAAAGGCATTAGTCCCTTTAGAGGAGCTTTTTAAAGCACTAAGAACAAACTTTTTTTACATCTCACTGACATAAGTAAAGAGTATCAAAAGTCAAATTTGGGGAGAAGCAGAGACACGAAAGAGATACTGAAGTGCAGAATGAAGATAATGCACACAATCTCCCCTTCCAAAATCTCATGGGTAGGCACAGAGATCTAAACTCAAAGCCTTCTGTATTTGTGTTCCTTTGGAATACGGACCAACATGTGCTCATTTTAACTATTTTTTTTTTAATTTGATGTAATGTCTTCCTGTTTAAAATTGAAATCTTTGCTAAGAGTACAAAAATATCTCTTGGTATTTGTCAATTTCCCAAATGTGCTTTGAAACTAGTATGTCCGTGTATCAGGCCCAAGGCCAAGAATGTCAAGGGCTATACAGATAATTATTCTCCACAATATAAAGTAATGTTTTTGTATATAGTAATGCCTCAGGGACAAGCTTCCATTTCATTATAACAGATTAAAATATTCTAATCATGAAAAGGGTTTTGGAAAGTGTTTTGCAAAGTGAAGAAACACACAGAGATTTGAAAGTGAAGAAACAGAGATTTGAAATCACATTGTATTTTGTACAATGTATTTCTTTAGACATGAGTTTATGACTGCAGAAAATGTGTTTACTTATTTATTTACTTACTTATTTTGTTGTCATTACTGGGGCTTATCTTTTTTACTCAAGGTTTGTACTCTACCACTTGAGCTACTAATCCATTTGAAGCTTTTTGCTGGTTAAGTTGAGAAAAAGAGTTTCATGGGCTTTCCCACCCAGCCTGGATTCAAGCTAAAATTCTCAGATATCAACCTCCTGAGTAGCTAAGGAATATAGGGTTGAAACACCAGTTCCCAGTGAAAAATGTACATAACATACATAGTTTTCTTAATGGTATTTAACAGAGCATCAATATCATTAAGTACTCTAAGTTTTACATGGTATTGCTTATTAATTATTATTTTAAAACTCACATAAGCCAGGTACTAGTGGCTCACACTGTAATCCTAGCCACTCAGGAGGCTGACACCTGAGAGTGGCAGTTCAAAGACAGCCCAGACAGGAAAGTCCCTAAGATTCTTACCTCCAATTAATCTTGGGCTGATCACCCACCAAAAGTGTAGTTATGGCTCAAGTGACAGAGCACTAGCTTTGGGCACAAAAACTCAGAGACAGTACCCAGGCCCTGAATTCAAGCCCCAGGACCAGCACTAAAACAACAACAACAACAACAACAAAAAGTCTCATAGAATAGAAATCTATCAACTCATGCATGTGAACAAAACAACTTTGAAAGGTTTCATAAGAAATTATTCCTTCTGTAAGGTAAATGAAAGGCTTTGGGGATGCATAATTTGGTGGCTATAAAAACAATAGTCTTAGAGCTTCCTTATGACCCAGCAATTCCACTTCTGGGCATCTATCCAACTGACTACAAACTATGCTACACTAAAGCCACCAGCATGATCATGTTCATTGCAGTATTGTTTACCATAGCCAAAATATGGAATCAACCCAATTGCCTTTCAGTGGAAACATAATGGATCAAGGAAATGTGGGCTATAGACACAATGGAAATATATGCTTCCATCAGAAAGAATGGCCTTGTCCCATTAATAAGAAAATGGAAAGATTTGGAAAAATTATACCAAATGAATTAAACCAGACCCAAAGAAACACATAGACTGCATGACTTCCCTCATTTGTATTAACTAGAATGTGCATATAAACCTACAAGTAAAACCAATGGACAGGAAAAGATGAATAATTACACCTGGACATGATTTATTAAACAGCACTCTAAACATTCACACAGTGAGAACAAAGGAGGATATTCTTAGGAGAGGATCACAAGGGCTTAATAGCTATGTGCATATGATCATACAAAATGATGCTTATCAAAAATGAACCCCAAGAAATGGAAGCAAGAGGTTTTTTTATTGTACTGTTTGCATTTTCTTCTTCTTCTTTCCTTTTTTTTCCTTTGGTTTATTCCCTTCTATTTTTGAGTTCTGTATCCTTTGTCTTGTATATAAGTTTATCTGATTTGGGGAGGGGAAGGGGAAGCACAGAAATGGTGGGACAAAGGGTGAACCAGTTCAACACTAGCCACTCACTAGATATTATATTGGAAATAAACTATACAATTGAGAAGGGAGGGGAAAAACTGTTAGAGAATGTCAGAGAAGATTGCACTGTTCAAAAGGAAATGTACTCATTACCTGAATCATGTAACTGTAACCTCTCTGTACATCACTTTTATAATAAAATTGGAAAAATAGTCTTAGATATGAAGACCTGTTGTCTTCAGAGAGAGCTACAGGTTCATTTTCTGGTTAGTCTTCAGTGAATTTACATATAGATTCAGTCAGCCAGCTTATTTGGGAGGTCAGCCTCCTCCCAAATTTCTCAAAATGAGCAATACATTGAAAGACTATAATATTCTTAAAATATATCTTAATTTTCATAATAAGCATAATAGATAAACATAATAATGTATAATAAAAATAAATATATTTTTCATAAATGTTATTAGCATACACATATATACTGACTTTTATCTGAGGTATCTAGGAAACAATAATTGACATTAAATTTTATTGTGCCCATTAAAAAATTTCATCTTGACCAAGTTTCAATGAACTTAAAATGATATACAGTAATTTGTCAGTGTTTGCATATTTACTAGTGCTAACATTTGAGGTAGAAAGTTATGGTATCAGTAAATTTTGTCCTCTAAAATATCAATTTCTCCCACTTTCCAAGCTATCATTCTTTACCTTCATAATGTTGAGAACAACTTATTGAGGGTATTATTTCTTGCCCAAGCATTGCTTCTGAAATTTCATAAACATAATAAGTATTTTATTTTAATGATATAACTTTTTGGGTTTGTTTTTTGGGAGTGTGGGGCCTGAACTCAGGAAGTGGGTGCTGTCCTTGAGCCTCCTTTTGTTCAAGGCCAGTGCTCTACTACTTTGAGCCAGAGCTCCACTTCCAGTTTTTGAGTGGTTAATTGAAGTTAAGAGTCTCATGGGGACTTTTGAAGCCCAGGCTGGCTTCGAACCACAATCCTCAGATCTGTCTTCTGAGTACCTAGGATTATAGGCATGTGTCACCAAGATCCATGTTACTTTTTGGCTGTTAAAAGGAAGTTTATGTACTTGAAATTTGAAAGTTGTATTCTTTTCTTCCTTAGTAAGGAAATGTTATTATGATGTAGAATCTTGCAGTATTAACCAAAGAAGTACTATGCAATGCTACTTTTAAACCAAATTGATACATTTCACACAAAAAGATATATCAATATTTGCATATTCTTTAAAATATGAATCATTTAAAGAACTATCTTACATATAAGTATTGTTTTAGTAAGAATAGAAACAACTGAATAAACACATACCAAGGAATCGGACAGTTCGGCGCACCAGTGGATTTATATAGCAACAATCTCCAGTTAATATAGTTTTTTCCTGGTTTTCAAAATCCCTTGTGGCTAGTTGTAGGCAAAACACAGCAGTCTCTCCAACGATTATCTTGCAAAGAAATAAAAAATTCAAGAATATTAGAATCCAACCAACATAAATGTATTTTTACTTGAAAAAAATGAAAAAAAAATTAAAAATCAATTTATATGCAATTGTACATTGTAAGTAGAGAATTTCATCATGACATTTTCTATATCATATACTTTTACCATATTCATTCTCTGTATTGCTCTTTCTTCTACACCAAGGTGTTTTGTTCTGCTTTGTTTTGGGCTTTGATTTCTGTTGTTTCCCCTTAGTTTCTTCAAGTGAGAAGAAACATGCTATACTTGTCTTTGTGGGACTGGCTTATTTCATTTAACACAACCATCTCCATTTCCATCCATTACCCCGCCCCAACAACATAATTTTCTTTGATGTCTGAGGAAAACTCCATTGTGAGTATATCATATTTTCTTTATCCATTCATGCATTAGTGGGTACCTAGGCTTTTTTTCATAACTTGGCTATTATGAGTAGTGCTACAATAAACATGGGTGCTCAGTATTTCTAGAGTAAGCTGACTTTGGGAGTATATACCCAGAAGTGGCATAGCAAGATTTTTTTTTTTTGTTTTTTGGTGGTGGTTGTCATTGTGTGGCTTGAACTCAGGACCTGGGTGCTGTCCCTGAGAGTTTATGCTTAAGGATAGTTTGAACCATACGTCCACCCGTATTTTTGGTAGTTGATAGAGATAAAAGTCTCAAAGCCCAAATTGGCTTTGAACCCTGATCCTCAGATCTTAGACTTTTGAGTCACTAGGATTGCCAGCATGAGTCACCAGTACCAACTAGTATAGTTCTATTTGAGGAACCTCCATACTGATTTCCATAGTACATGGATTAATATTCATTTCAACAGTGAATTTAAAAATAAACAGAGCTCTTTTGAATTAGAAACAATCTTGATATAAAAATGAGCCCTATTATATAAAAAGACTACAAAACTTTTTCTAAAAGGGCTTCATTAAAAATGAAATATACAGCATTCAAACCTCAGTATTACAATTTTTTTAAAAAATTAAACATACAAAGGATCTTTAAGGAAATGTTCAGTTATTTTTGGTGTGTTGTTGAGTTTAACTTATTTTTAAGTAACTATTTTTCTCTTGTGGTAGGTAAGATTGAACCTAGGGCCTTGAGTTTGCTAGGCAGGGATTACTATTATTTTCTTTTTGAGATAGTAGTGTCTCACTAACTTGAGGATGGGCTGGACTTGAACTTCTGATCTCCCACAATCCAACAGCTGTGTTACAGATGTTCATCACAATGCCTAGCTAAGTGACTCTTGAAGATTCTCAAAGAGCAGTGCAAGCCATTTACATGCATGGGTATATCACAAAGAAATTCATGACTCTGTACAATTGACATGCATTGACATTTATATTTTAAAAATAAGAAAAGATCTTCTATAGACATACTAACTTGAAATCCTATTGATACTTTTGAAAGAAACAAATCACACTTGTGACCTTAAAGTTACCATATGATAAGATATTATTAAAATTATAATCATTATGTATTCTTTGAGTGTGTGTGTGTGTGTGTGTGTGTGTGTGTGTGTGTTGTGTACCAGAATTAGGAACTGAACTCAGGGCCCTGGGCACTCTAGCTTTTTTACTCACAACTGGCACTCTACCATTTGAGCCACAGCTCCACTTTCAGTGTTTTGCTGGTCAATTGGAGATAAGAGTCTTGAGGGGTTTCTTGCCTAGGCTGGCTTCAAACCTTGATCCTCAGATCTTAGCCTCCTGAGTAGCTATGATTATAGGGGAGTGCTAATTACACTGGCTAATGCATTCTTTACATTTTAGTATAAATGAGTCACTTTTCATATGATTTAGAAAACAAGGAGTATTGCCATACTCCTTTAGCGAAGAAATCAGGATTTGGAATTCAACTAAATTATGTAGGAACCAATGAGAGAAGGTTCTAGTATGCATCTTCCCTCTACTTGCTGATTTGGTAGGATCAATTTGTGTCTGCACCAGTTGTAGTGATTTTCACACACACCTTCAAAACCCCAACAAGGTTTTGTAGAGCAGTATTATTATGCCTTTTTAAAGATGATGAAGTAGAAACTTAGTAAGATTGTTTAGTTTCCCTTTAGACCACTTAGAAATCAAGCAGAATTATCCTCAGGTCCTTTGACTCAGGGTAATACCATGAACTAAATAGTAAATGAGAGGGGAGTCCAAGGGACTAGGGGTGCAACTTACTTTTACCCCAATGTGAACAGCAGATCATGAGACATCTATTAATCTGCATCCTTTTTTCCTACCATCTTTTCCTCTTTTCTTACTCTACCTCTCATTTCAAGGAGGTTGGGGTTCAAGGTTAGACTAGAGGATGTTGAACTGAACTGCATTCATCTTTTTGCCTATCTAGTGAGAGTGAATTGGGTTAGAAAAAAAAAAAAACAACTAGGGCTTCCAAATTTCTCCCAACTTTTCACTTTGGCTTTGGTGAAATATAGCAGGTGGGTGAAGAAACGGTTCATCTTGCCAAAGAAGGCACGAGAACTATTTTTCCATGGGCACCTCTGCTGTCCCCAGGGCCTTAGGAGAAATAACAGACAGACAAGCTGTGTGATTGGCATGTTCTTATTTCCTGGGTCATGTCTGCCTCTCTGCGGCTCCCCAAAAGGAAGGACCGGGAAGACACTCTCTTGGGTTTTAGTTTCAACCTTTTCTACTTTTTGGCCACAGCATGTTTCAAATTCAGAAACGGTGCCATCTGCTCGACTTCATGAGCCTTATCCCCTCATGGTTGCTGCTCTGCTTCTCTTCTCTGAGGCAGCAGCTGCTGGGTCTCCAACCCCCAGTCTGACCTCATAGTAACTTGAGCCTCAAATCAGGCTGTCAATGCATTAAGTATGTCAGAAAACCGTAGATGTCCAATATCTTTAGTAATCCAATCCTCAATAGATTTCATCTTCAGTAGATCCGAATGCTCTCTTCTGCTTTTGCCTGGCTTTTTAACTCCCTCCCTCTATTCCTTCCTTCCTTCCTTCCTTCCTTCCGTCCTTCCTTCCTTCCTTCCTTCCTTCTTTCTTTCCTTCCTTCCTTCTTCCTTTCTTTCCTTCTTTCTCCCTTGAACTCAGGGCCTTGGTGCTATCTGTCCCTACTCTTTTGTGCTCAAGGCTAGTGCTCTATCACTCTGAGGCATATCTCCATTTCAGGCTCTTTGATGCTTAATTGGAGATGAGTCGCTTAGCCTTTCCTGCCAAGGCTGGCTTTGAACTGTGATCTTCAGCCTCCTGAGTAGCTCAAATTACAAATGTGAGCCACTGAAGCTTGGCCTGCCTGACTTCTGATACCAACTTTCTGGCCTTGCTGCTGAGATGAAGGAAGGTTTACCCAGTACCCTTGTTCCTATAACCCCATCTTGTATTGTTTTCCCTTTCTCAATAACTCTCTCAGTTACCAGATTGCTTCTGGACTGAGAACTAAGGTTATTCTTCCTGGTAGCTATCTTATGATGACCTCTTGCTTGCCTGAATGCTGGCTCATTTCATGTTCCTGAATTTCCCACTGGTATATTAAGTGTATCTGACAAAGCAGGGTCTAGTCACAGCTGGTACTAGAAGCTCAAACTGGGTTAAGCAAAGTGAGGGATGTATTTCAGGGTTGGTAGGTTATCTCAGAACCTGAGGGAAGGGTATGGGAGATTAGCTCCTTGAATGAAAGTCTTCAGGAGGCCAGGCACACAAAACAATACTCTCGGTGGTCTCTGTCTGGCCCTGCAGTCAAGATCTTGTCTTACATCTTTTTTAAAAAATATATTTTGTTGTTATTATAAAGGTGATGTACAGAGGGGTTACAGTTTCCTAGGTCAGGTCATGAGTACATTTCTTTTTTTTTTTAAATTAATTTTATTTTATTTTATTTGAGAACATACTGTACAGAGGGGTTACAATTACATGGGCAGGATAATGCATACATATCTTACCAAGCATTGCAGCCTCCTCCTTTGTTTACCCTTCACCTCCCTTCCCAGCCTCCCCCCTCCCCCCCCACTCAATCCTTCCCCCCCCTCCCCCCCCACACCGACATTGTAAAGCTCGTTTTTGACATGACATTTTGTACTTCTCATTGTTGCAACAGGTCCACCTGAATCCTTAAACGACTTGTTTGTCCCCATCTCCTCCACAAGTTATACTGACATCAAATATAGTGAAAGCGGGGGTTACACTGTAGGGGAGGGACATACAAAGCAACAAAGAAATAATCTTATAAATGCGTTAGAAACACATGCATGAAAGAAAAAAAAACATTAAAATACATATTTAAGGGATCGTTTTCCTAACATCACATTATCTGACCTTTTCCACTTGACTCATACATATACTAGATATTGCATATAAGGGAAACCATGGGACCTATGTTTCTTTGGGCCTGGCTTACTTCACTTAATATAATTTTTTCCAAGCCTTTCCATTTCCTAACAAATGGGGAAATGTCATTCTTTCTGATGGAGGCATAGAATTCCATTGTGTATATATACCACATTTTCTTGATCCATTCATCTACTGAGGGGCATCTGGGTTGGTTCCATATCTTAGCTATGGTAAATAATGCTGCAATAAACATAGTTGTGCTGCTAGCTTTAGTGTGGTCTTGTTTGTAAACATTTGGGTAAATGCCCAAAAGTGGGATTGCTGGGTCATAGGGGAGTTCTATGTGTAGTCTTTTGAGGAACCTCCATACTGCTTTCCAAAGTGGTTGAACAAGTTTACATTCCCACCAACAATGAAGTAAGGTTCCTTTCTGTCCACATCCCCTCCAGCATCTGTTGTTAGAGTTCTTGATTTTTGCCGTTCTAACTGGAGTGAGGTGATATATGAGTACATTTCTTTTGAACAGTGTTATCCCTTCCCTCATTTTCTCCCCTTTTTCCCCTCCCATCCCCATCCATATGTGGTACAGTTCATTTTCAACATAGTGAATGACACTGCTGCATTTGTCACCTTGTGTCTCTGTTTCTGTGTCCCCCCTTACCCTCCAAAAG